CAGCCCCTTCCCGCCGTCTTCACTGCCGCTTCCAAACACTGCCACGGCCAGGCCTCCGCGCGGGGCCTGAACTACAGCACGGGGCAGTCCTGGCCTCCAGCCCGAGTCGGCCGGGACGCAGCCCTCTCGGGGGGACCGGACGGCGACGCCTTTGGAGAACGTGGGTGGTGTGGGACCGCAGGGAATCATTTCTAAGACGCGTCCGTTGGGATCAAGGTTAGAAGCGTGGCCCAGCCGCTGGAGCGGCGATGATGCAGAAGGAGGCGAGGGCTGATGCCGGGAAACGAGGACAGGCAGGACCCGCAGGGGATTGCGAGGGGCTGGGGGCCCGCCGTGGGCGGGAATGACGGGTCCTGCACCGTGCAGAGCCCTGAAGAAACTGAAGACACCGACGCCCGACGGCGATTCCACCCCTAAGTGTCTGCGCAGCACGAGTGAGTCAGGAATTCAAGGACGCCACGCCCACCTCTGTTCGGAGCGGCCCGGTCCCGACAGCTGAAAGGTACCACTGACCCAAGTGTCCACCACTGACCGGACGGAGGCATGCGATGTGCTCGGCCCGGTGGAATATTACACGGTCGTGAAAAACCGGCCCAAGGCACCTGCTACAACAGGGCTGGTCCTCGGCCACGTGGTGGCGACAGAAGTCACGTGTGAGGGGACACATGTTGCTGTTGCGTGGTCCCCTCTGGTGTGAACTGGGCGGGACAGGCACGTCCGCAGGGACAGGAAGTGGGTCGGTGCACGTAGGGCTGGAGGGAGGCGGGGGAGCAGCAGGCACGGCGCAGGGCAGCCACGGCGAACCTTTTAGTCGTGCACACGACCCGCTGCAGCACACGTGCCATGGCCAGGCCGTGTGGGCGCTCGTGTGAGGTTCCCAGAAGGGGAAGATGGGGCACCGCGCCGGGGACCCACAGCCCAGCCTCGGGTGGTCTCCACCGGGAAGGGAAGGTCACTGGTGAAGGGACTCGTTCCGGGGATGGCTCAGAGCCCCGGGGCCGGCACGGGGCATCTCATCCCCGGCTCAACGCGGGTTAGGGTTCCGCAGCCTGGCCCCGCCACAGGGTCCTGCGTCTCATGCCCGATAATCAATAATCGGCTTAGCCGAGGGTTTGCCGGCATCCCCTAGTAGCTGGGCATTTGGGCCACCCTGCGGAGGCGGCGCTGGGATTTAATTAAGCAGATGAGGTCGCTGGAGACCTCTCGTCCTCCTGGAAGACTAAACCCTCCGTCAATCCTCCCGACCCCCGGGCTGGGAAAGCCAAAGGACGTCAGACTTACGAGGAGGCTTGCTTGCCACAAATCCTGACAGAACTGGGCTACTCCTGCGAAAGTCTTAAAGAGTCCCTTGATGTCAAACCCTAGCAAAGTGACAGTCACATCAACCCCTCGTACAGTGGGGCCACGGCACCAGTCCCATTGCTGGCACAAAATATCAGAACCCGGGACTGGAAGGAGGAGAGGTGCTCATGGTCTCCTTTTCCCCTGACCCCACCTCTTAACGGCACACTGGGCTCTGAAATCGTCCATGCCTTGACCCACACAGCGGGACAGGTGCCCTGACATCCAACAGCCTCCCCCAAAGTCCGACCTCTGAACAGGAGACCTCTGGGGACCTTTTGTGTCTAAGCCCTAACAGTTCCGGCGAACTCCAGCCAGGTGGACTCACTACGTGTCAAACCCTCATAGAATGGAGTGGCCACACGAAACCCAAATAAAACACGGCGATCACGCCCAAGCTCACCAAGAGGCAGGTGCCATGCCAGGCGTCACGTGACGGCATCTTTCCCGTCGGGCACTCACGGAATGGCGGTGATCTCGGGGTGTGACAGGATGCTGTCAGCTCTGGGAAAGTGCAGTCAGCGACACCAGACCCTCACTAAAGGAGATCGCTGATGCCCGGCTTGACAAGGTAGGGTCGCTCGTGCCAAACTGTCACGAAATGCGGTCACGTGGAGCCTTACCCTGGCCGAGCAGAGTAGGAGGGGGATGTGGGGAGGGGGACATTGGCTGCCGGACCCTCTTCCTTTTGCCCACTGGCTGCCTCCGTTCCACGTGACCACTATGAAGCCAGAGCCACTATACCAAGGGCCCCTGAGCAGCCCAGGGCCTCCTGGAGCCCGGGAGGAGGCAGAGGCAGGAGGGTCTCCCCTGGAGCCTGTGGAGGGAGCGCAGCCCGGGATGCCTTGGTCTTAACCTCCCAGGTCACTGTGCTGTGACTGACCGGGCCTCGAGACAATCCCGTGGGGCCAGGGACGCCAGGGAGCCGCAGGAGCAGAAGGCGGGGCGGGCAGCTGGTCCCCGGGGCCCGTGATCCGCTGTTAAGCCGCGGGTTGCTGTCTGGGCTCCTCCGTGTGGCTGGGAGCCTGGGGCCGAGGCGGACATGGACACCCCAGAGCCCGGCGCCTTCCGCGAGCTGACCCGGTGTGCACACGGTTTCATGGTCTCGCAGGTAGGGCTGCGGTGGGGCCGCTTGGGGGCACCGCTGCGGGGCCTGGGGCTCCTGCCGACCTCGGGGAGTTTTAGGGAGCTGATTCTTTTCGGTTGCTGCCTGCTGCGGTACCGGGGATCTAACTCAGGACCTCGCGCTTGTTCACGAGGCAGGCGCAGTGGCCGGGCCGACCCTCTGCAGGCTGGGTGTGCATTGTGGGGATTTTCCCTGCCACGCACTGCAGAAAGAGGCCACTGTTTCCGGGGTAACAGAGCGTGGCTTCCAGATGCATCTGCAGGGATGTGGAGGGGCAGAGGGGGAGCAAAACTGGGGGGGCGGTAAGGAAAGCAAACTGCAGGGTTAGTGTCTACAACGCCTAAAACATTAAGCTCTAATCCCGGCGCTCGGGAGGCTGAGGCAGGAAGATTGCTGCAAGTTTCAAGGCCAGCCCGGGCTGCATAGCAAGACCCCGTGTCAGAAAACCTGAACCCAAATCGAACTTCTAAACCTCGGGCTGGGACACCGCCAAGCATTTGAATCTGTGGTCCTCACAGCTGTGTGTGGACGGAACCCAGGATGAAAATCTTCGAAAAAAATGGACCTTGGTCCTGCGCACGGGTGGAGGTCGTGCTTTCTGATCGTCGGGCCTGAGACAACACGACAGCTCTTTGCCCAGCCCGGATTTGTATTTGAGCAGGCACCGTAAAGTCACGTGCTGACGGTTGACATTCTGAGGCGGGAGGGTTGTAAATCGAGTAAGAAATACACGGCCGCTGTAACCGCAGACCTCAGCGTCTGTGGGTTCGGGGCCCGTGGGTGGGCCCGGATGTGCTCCCACGCGTACCAGAGGACCCGCTGTATTGAGCTGTGACTGCTGGAAATACAGGCGTGGTGCTGCACCTTTGTGACCCCAGTGCTCTGGGAGGCTGAGGCAGGAGGGTTGAAAGTTCCAGCCCCGCCTGGGCAATGGAGCAACCCAGGGAGACCCTGTCTCAAAAGGAAAAACGAAGAGCAAAGGCTTCCAGAGGTGCAGATCGGCGTGAGAGCCCCGAGTTCGATCTCCAGCACGGCAAAAAAAAAACCCACAAAAAACAAAAAACAGCGAAAATATTTTCGTGATAGAGAAATGTGTGTGTTTGTTAGCATGCTAAGTAATTAGCTGATGGGTGAAAAACAGAATCAAGATGGTGGGGTTATTATCTGGGGAGGGAGCACCGATCTCATGGCTTTACCTCCTGGGCTCAAGCGATCGCCCTGCCTCAGCCTCCTGAGTGTGGGGTGCACAGGTGGGCACCGGAGCTCCAGGCTGCAGGCTGCAGGGGTGCGGCTCCGCCCTCTACCCCGGGGCTGAGGGCTTTGCACTCCGCGCTGACGATGCACGGACCCGTGTGAGGCGTGGACACGGACGTGTGTGTCCCTCAGGTGGCTTAAAGGCTCTGCTCTCTGCTCAAAACATCACAGTGTCACTCTGCACTCGGGAGAGGCAGGTGGGGCAACTAAAAGCTATGGTGAATGTTTAAATTCGACAATGTATCACAGCAGCAGACGCGTTGCTACAAATGCCCTCAGAACCCTCCCTGGCCGTGCGCACCCTCCTCCCACTGACGGGCCGTGTCCTGCAGCAGCTCCGGCCTCCTCTCTCCCAGGGTCTGCACCGGCCG